AATTTTATCCGTTTGATCGGAGTGAATTTAGACGAATATGTCGATGAGAATAGTGAAGGAGATAATGACGTAGTAAGTGACCATTCCAACCTATTTGTAGCTGAGAATCAGATTTACAATAATAGGGAAACACTTGAGGAGGTGATTAGGCATGTTGGACTTGTCGAAAAATTCAATTTTCGTGTAGTGCTTTCTAATGCATCTTAGTAAGTACACGGCATTCTTTTAATTTATGTTTTTTATTTGATTTATTTTGCTTTATAAAATTTAAATGTATATTTATTATTTGTTAAACAGTTATCACATGATTTGTCTTTCTGAGAGTTGTTCTTGGATGATGAGAGCATCTAGTTTGAATAAATCAAGTTTATTCAAAGTTAGGAAGTACAATGTTGAACACACTTGTTCTGTTAGAGATAGAGTGTATGCAAGACGTCAGGGGATAACTGACGTTGTAGCTGTCTTAATAATGGATAAGTATATTCATCCATCTACCGTATACATTCCAAAGGATATAGCTGATGATATGTTGAAATTGCATGGTGTTTTGCTAACATACATACAGGCGTGGAGAGCTAGAGAAAAAGCAATAAGATTGGTGTGTGGAGATCCGGCCAAATCATATGCCAAACTATCAGGAAATTTCAAAGTAAATTATGAATTAGAAATTTTTTTAATTGTGAAAGTGAAAAAAATTACCATACAGTTTGTTTTCAAACTGAAATAAAATTTTCTGTGTAGTAACTTTTATGTATGAATTTTGTATCATTTATGTGTGTATCTATATTTAAATAGGTATTTAAGAATGTATCTTTTTTGTATCAATTAAGTGTTCTTTATGTATCCATTCAGTAATATATATGATGTTTTGAACTATCGTATTTTATAATTGAAAAAATTTCAGGTTATCTATACATATTGGAGCAAACATATCCGGGATCGATTTTGAAAATAGAAAGGAAGGAATGTGATAAATTTCTATACGCATTTTTTGCATTAGAAGCTTGTATTAGAGGCTGGGAGTATTGTAGGCCAATTGTAGTTGTTGATGGGGCCGGATTAAAATGTTCATATGGTGGTACAATGTTCACTGCCAGCACCATGGATCCGGGACGTAATTTTTTATCCCTTGTACTTTTACACTTACACAATAAAAAATTATATGATATTACGTATGTTTTCAATTCGTGTGATATTTTTTTCAAAAAATAAATCAGGTCATACACTTCTGTTGGCGTATGCGATAGTGAATTCTAAAAACGACGCTTCATGGACCTGGTTCTTTGAACAGTTTAAGAAAGCGTATGGAGTTAGAAAAAACATGTGTTTTATGTCAGATCGAAATGAGAGCATATGGAAAGGGACTACTACTGTATATCCTGAATGTGAACATTAAGCCTGCATATGGGAACCATCAGTTAATGTGTTGAGAAATTCAATAAAAATACTGAAGATTTGAAGATTTTATTTTTTACACTACCAAATGCTTATATAAAACAACAGTTTGAGACGATTATAAAAAGAATAGACCAGATAGATCCGCGAATAAGACCTTACTTATTTGATATTGGTTATAGCTAATGGTCAAGAGTTTATTCGAATTGTAAGCGCACATGGACCATGACTTCAAACATCGCTGAGTCGTTGACAGGTTGACAAGGAGGTTACCAGTGTTTCACTTTTTGAATTTAGGAGAGTAACAATTTAAAGATGGATTCACAAGCACAATGAGGAGGCTGATAAAACAACATCTGATCTGACAAAAAAATATGATATGTATCTCCAGAAAAGTATTGCTTTGTCTTGCAATATGAACGTATGTTTTTTCTCAATTCAATAATAATTAAATGTATTTTATTTCAAAAAATTTAGTAGCATATATATATTTACAATTTCACATTGAAATTGTTGTTAAGGTGATACCTTCAACACTCGATATGCATGTTGCAACTGAAGGAGCAAAGAAGTACATAGTAAACTTGAACACAATGATGAGTAGTTGCGGGAGATTTCAACATTATGAAATACCATGTGGTCATGTAATCGCAGTTCTTAGATACAGAAAGTTGCATGAAGCAGATTTTTGTTCTGCTTTTTATAGCCTGAAGAATTTCAAAGATACATATGTCATCCCTGTTGAACTTATCCCTTGCAAGAATATATGGGATACACCAAATTATATTTCAGAGCCTAAAATGATGTCACTGGGTCCAAAGAGAATAGTGGAAAGACCAAAACTTGAACGATGAAAAGGGTTTTCTGACGTGAAACTCAAAAGGTCAAAAATGACTTGCAGTAGATCCCGTCAAGTTGGACACAACAGAAAGACATGTTCAAATTATCCAATGATTAAAAAATGATATCTTGTGTATGTTGTTTTCACTGTTAGACACAAATTTTTATATATGTATTGTATTTTGGTATCATTAACAGTGAAACACACTATTTATAGATATGAACTAACGTATACAATTATTATTCAAATTCCATACATAGTACATAGTGATTACATGAATACTATTGAAAAACAAATTTCATACAAAGTTCATACAAAAATAAAATAAAATAAATCATACATCAATTAACATCTATTAACTATGGCATACGTAATTAATACAAACTTTCATACATAATGATAAAATATTTTTCAACAAATATTTCAAACAATATGCATACATAGTTCATACATATTTATACGAAGGTGATAATATATGTGTATCGAAAAATATATGATATTTATCATACTCGAAATATAAGATAGTAAAAATGTGAACTAATTGTATACAATTATATTAAAATTTCATAGAAAGTACATAGTGTGTCACGATCCAAAACGAGCCGCGAGTGGCACCCACATTTATCCTCCTATGTGAGCGAACCAACCAATCTAAACCCCAACATTTCAAACATAATAAATAGAAAAACAATGCGGAATACTTAAAACTCATTAACGAAATCAATAATCAACTTCTAAAACTCAAACTTATCATTATCCCCAAAATCTGGAAGTCATCATCACAAGAACATCTATCCTCAAATTACTAATTCTAAGAGTATCTAGAAAGCTAAAATAAATAAAAAGCTAGTCCATGCCGGAACTTCAAGGCATCAAGACATGAAGAAGAAGATCCAGTCCAAGCTAAAAGCGTTAGCTCACCCTGAAATCCGGTGTAATGAAGACTGGCTAGAGTTGCGGTTGAATTGAGGACGACGGTACGTTCGCTGTACTCCACAAATAACAAAGAAAGAAACATACAAGTAGGGGTCAGTACAAACACAAGTACTGAGTAGATATCATCGGCCAACTCAAAATAGAAATCAGTATATATCAGATAATATCATAAAATCAACTACAATACTCAACATGCAGCATTTACAATTACCATAACCCTTGGTCACAACACCAAGCACATCAATGAGGACTCACGCCTCCCCATCATACTCATTTGGGAAATAGGTTCATTAAATTGAGTATATTAACATCTTTCAAGATTCATTATCTTTATTTCTCTTGTGTCGAAATGTGACACTCCGATCCCCTAATACTACGTGTCGGTTCGTGACACCCGATCACCTAATACTACGTGTCGGTTCGTGACACCCGATCCCCTAATACTACGTGTCGGTTCGTGACACCCGATCCCCTAATACTACATGTCGGTTCGTGACACCCGATCCCCCTATTACTACGTGTCGGTTCGTGACACCCGATCCCCCTATGACTACGTGTCGGTTCGTGACACCCGATCCTCTAACCTCATTCTTTCGTTCATCAAGCCTTCTTTTATACCAAGGCATCATCATTAACAAGAGGTTTTCAAGATTTAGGATTCAATAGTTTCATCATGTTTATTTCATCACAATTATATCATCACATCCATGCAAGCATACAATTAAGCATATAGAAGGGTTTACAACACTACCCAATACATATCATTCGCTATTAAGAGTTTACTACGAATAGCATAAAAACCATAACCTACCTCCACCGAAGATTATTGATCGAGCAAGCAAATTCCCCAAAGCTTTGTTTTCCTCTTCGTTTCTCCTCTCTCTCGATCGTTCTTCTCCCTCTCTCTGTTCTTTTTATTTTTCTTATTCAATCCTCTTTCTTTTACCCTAATTAGCATATAATTAAGTATAAAAGATGACAAAAGTAACCCACTAATTAATTTAAGGTTATCTCTTTTAACCCTCGAGAATTTGGATTATTAATATTCAACCACTAACTTTATAATTATAAGCAGGAATAGTCCAAAACACCCCTTAAAACAGTTAACAGAAATTCGACCCAGCCTGGGATTATGCAGTCTGTGACGGGCCATCGTGCCTGCGACGGTCCGTCCTGCTGAGTTGTCACAGAGTTCAGAGACTGAAATTTACTGAAGGGCCTGTGACGGTCCGTCCTGCCATTTCGTCACGAAGTTTAGAGAGTCGATTTCAGTACCCAAATTTCATAAATCTAAGTGTTTTGGAACGAGACCCCCTCGACGGTCCGTCGTGCCCATGACGGTCCGTCGTGGGATCCGTCGTCTCTGCCAGTTTTTTCAGAAATAAAATCTGCTGCTCAAAACGACTAAACAGGTCGTTACATAGTGCTTACAACATTCATATTATATGGATCAACTATGTTTTTAAAATTTCTAAAATGTACAATGACTCCGCTGATATACAAATTGTATATAAAATGCATAAAAAATTCAAATACAATAATGATACAAAGTTCATACATATTTCATAAAATAAGTTCATAAATAATTCATACATATTTCATACAAAAGTTCATATTTCATACAAAGTTCATATATGATAAACTATTTTCAACATATTTTGGTACATGAATGTATTGTTAAATTAGTTAATATAAATTTGCAATATATTTCAAACAATATGCATACATATTGGATATATATTTATACAAAAGTGATAATATATGTGTATCAAAAAATATATGACATTTGTCATAGTCGCAAGATAAAATAGTAAAAATGTTGTGTTATATGTATAAACGTAGTAATCAGTTCATACAAAAATAAGGGTAACATTGATAAATTATATAAACAAAACTGAAATTCATATTAATAAAAAAACTGGAAAATAACATAAATTGTTATATTGTTAAAAAAAAACAAGAAGTTCAAAAAGAATGCAAAGTGTGCACTGAACTTTTTCTATTTCCTATTTCGTGGTCTTGGAGTGGGATAATTGGTGGTGTCCATAACTTGTTCTTTTTGCATGCGAGGTCCACCATACTTGCTGGTAACTGTACCTGTAACTTCACTGTCGCTTATTGCTCCCTCTTTATTCTTTGATTTTGCATAGTGTCAAAGTAATGTGACATACATCTAACGATGATATGTTGCATCGACATCAATATTAGACACATCAAAAAGTATCATTGCTAATATATTCAACAAAAAGAGAGGTGTATAGACCATAATCGCTGTATTCAATTTGAAATTAGAAAATTTTATAATAACTAAATATTTGAAATCAATATAGTATAGAGATTACATACTTGGAATTGTCTTCTTGTTGAGGAACATCTGTTACATGTTTGATTTCGAGAAGTTCGGGTTCAGACTTGTTTTGATATTCAGGGATATTGTTTGCATATATATCAAGTCTTTTACCATAAAACCCTGTACTTGTCAGAAATAATGGTATCATGGTTGCAAGTTTATCAACAACTTCTTTAACTAATTTGTTATGAACAACTCCGTCACTCATCGAATCGTATACATATAGACATCTATGTTTGATTCGGAGTACAACAAGAAACCAATAAAATTTCTCAGAAACATTGACAGAGATAAGGACTTCGTCGATTCTGTCCCAAGCAATGTTAGCAAGCAGCTTAAATCCTCTAATGCACTGACCAACGTCGTGGTCGGGGGCAATTGATCTCAAGTTACAATCTGACAGTCTCCACTATTTCTCAATGTTATCAATCCACGTTATAAACCAACAGTCAACAGTGTTGTATGAAATTGATGTTTGAGAGTATTTTGCCTTCTTTCGAAGATAACACATAATTGTATTAATATGCTGTTACAACAAAAAAAAATACATTCGATTTTTCATACATTGTCGTATCATATATACATCTATATAAGTACATGCACACATTGTATAAACATGTATATACATGTTTCATACACATTTCATACACACATAATGCAAACATAAAAACTATCTCATACATAATTCATAGATTAATAATGCACTAGTTGTTACTTAAATTCGTACATCAATTATTACACAAGATTCAAACAATTCTAAAAAATAGCATTTATTACGTAAACTAAAATAGAGTTCAAGAAAATACTAATACAACATATGGGTATCAAAAATATACAATGTGGCTTTATAACTAATAAATAGCAGGTATATAACCTTTTACTCAAGTCATGTATAGTAAAAGTTCATTATATACCTCAATACATACACAAATCATACAACATTAAAATACAACAATTCAAACATCAAGTAACATATAATTCAGATATATTAATCATAATATTGATTCAAAGTATGTCTTACCCCGTCCTCCTAAGGTCTGCCCTGTTGACTCATTATGTGAAAAAAATCCTTTTCTGCGATTTTGGCAACGCCAAAGACCATTTGAGGATGAAAGGTATTTTTCACCTTTGTATATGCTGCTTTCCTGTGAATATTGCAATAAATTTTGTATAAGATTTGATATTGTTAAATGTAAAATAAAATAATATTATTTATATATATCTATACCTGTCACGCCTATTTGAAACATCTTTCATAACCCATTGGTTGAACTGGTCAATCATATAAGCTGGAACGTCAAAATCATTTTGACATGCGAATGGATGTTTGATCGGGAAGAATATTGGAACTCTTTTTGAACTGCTTTCGGCTTTCGACATCGAATATAAGGAGAAAATTCATATTTTCTGGGGTTCGTGTGTCTTTGTTGCACATCTGGTGTTGTGGTGGCGTTTAGAATCGGATCAAGTGCAATGATTTGTGTCATAGTAAAATCAGGGTAATCATCCAAAGTTGGTGATTTTGAAGTTGATGATCCAGATAAGTCGGCGTTGAAAAAATCACCAGTTGACTTTTGAGCTTCATCTAGATAAGAAAAATCGTTAGCTCAAAACAAATTTGTAAAAGAACATACATGTCATAATATTTTATATAGCATACCATATGTGTTTGAAATGTGAACATATTCACCCATTGAAATCGAAGGTTGGTCCGTTTGAGGTTTATCAGACTGTGCAACATTTAGAGTGACATCATCCTAATATTATTTTTTAAACAATATCAATATATTCTAATTTTTTTAAATAAATTAAATTAAACATTAGTATAATAGTTTCATTAGTATATAGTTTCACAAATATGAATACAGTAATTAAACTAAATTTAAAATAACCTAAAATTGTAGAAGCAGTTTCATTACTATATAGTTTCGCATCAATTAATACAATATTTATACAATTTTCATACAGATGTTAAGAACAAATTTTTATATATTTTTAACATATCATTTTTGCAGTGCTCATACATAAATGAAACACAAAGGTCATGCATTTCTACACAAAAGTTATACATAATTAATTAATTAATTAATTAATATATATATATATATATATATATATATATATATATCGTGTTTGTCAATCTTATGAATGTAAGGAAAAAAATATTAAAATAGTAAAATAAAACATGTAATAATTATATTATTAAATTTAAATGTGATTGGAACTAACATTAGTTTTGAACTCTTTTAATTCCGCCTTAACCTGTTCATTATAGAATAATAAGTTTGATATGTATAATCTAAAATCTTAAAAATATTTTAATCGTAAATTTCATTTATACCTCTGCAATTTTTGCTTTCAACTCTACGTATTTTTGTTCAAAATCAACGCCCTGCTTTTCCGAGATTCCTTGCTCTTCAGAATCATAGTGACTGAGAGATTGATTTAAAATGGTTTCATCCATGACATTTAACTCTTCTTCAGTAAAAATTATATTTCTGAACTTTTGCTGCAGAAAAGAAAAATATGAGAATGTGTAGTAATTTAAAATTACTTTAATAACATTCAATAAAAAAATTACCTGATTGTCATGTGTTTTGAAATCATTTTCTTCAAATCATCAAAAAATAACATCATTTGTTGTCTTCCAGTTCAGGATACGCGGTGTGCGATCTGAAGCATGGATAACAATTGTGTTTTCAAATGGATGACAACACTCATAAACCATACCAACAAGGCTATATGGAACTGGCTAAACTTGAATGACGAAGGATTTTTTTATAACTTATAACTGCACGCTTTAAGTGTTAAATTAAAACACTCATTCCCCCCATGAAAACGTGGCATACTGGCCAGACTCAACTAAATCAAAATATAATTTAGGAATTGTTGTTTTTGAAGGGTCTGAAGCAGTCGGAAATGACGGAATGAAGTACAGCATTCCGATTTTTAAACGGTCATCCTCTTTCAAAAAGTTTTCCAATCTAAACTTGTGGTAAAAATTTGACTTGGGGACTTTGTCCATATCCCCAAAATTTTCTGAGATAAGTCTACTTGAAATAAACGGGTCAGAAACAAAATAATAAATTGGTCCAGATTTCAGACCGGTTACAGCGACAAACTCTTTTAATCCAAAGTGTAACTCTGCACCATTTACGTTGATAACAAACATGTTATCTCTGTCATTTTCAGTTTCAAGAAGAAAACTATGGCGCAACAATTGACATTGAATTTTTATGTTATGTAAATCATAAAAAAAAATTCAAATGGTGTTTCTCGTAAAAATTGTTGGAACTTATCTTGACCGAGGAAGGTCAACAGATTAGCGAACACATTCATATTGATACATGAAGACAAATGTGTTTGTACCTTCTTCTCCTATAAAATTGGTAAAACTAAATTAATACTTTTAACATACTACATAATTTCATAGGAAAATCATATATACACTGCTATATTAAATGGATAGTCAATTTAATTCATACACAAATCATACAAACTAATACATCAGTTCATACATAATTCATACAATATTAATACATATTAGATTTTTAAAAAAAACTAATCTGTGACTTTCAAACTACAAATTAAAACTCATACAGTACCAATACATCAGTTCATACATCAAATCAAAACATAAAAAATACAGTGGCAATACGTATTATAATAGTCAAAATTATACGATATACAACATTAATACATCATTCATACACTGATATTCTAATGGACAATAAAGTTATTTCATACACATATCATACAAGGTTAATACATCATTTTATACAAATCATACAAATTGAATACATCGGTTCATACATAGTTCATGACAGTCAATGCAATTCATATACAAGTCATACAATTGGAATACATCAGTTCATACATAATTCAAACAAAATTAGTGCATATTAGATTTTTAAAAAAATTACAACGTGTTCCTCATACAACGTTGAAATTCAATTCATACACGATTATACATAACTCATATAATATTCATACATAAAAAAATTGTCAAGTAAAATAATGAATAAACAACTATACAATACAAAAATAGCAACTCATACAAAACTCATTCAAAATTCATATATTATATGATTGCCAAATAAAATAAAAATTTAAACTCAACTACATATAATATTTTAACAAAAATTTTAAATAATTTTTTTTACTAAACTTGACAATTTGGGTTTCTTTGTGCACTTTATCTCTTATTCCTTCTTTGAGGACGTTCTTATCGATCGACCAATTTCAATACATTTTCATCTTTTATTTTTTAATTCATCAACATAGTCAGAATCTGAATCTGACGATGTTTGAATTTTTTTTCCCTTCCTCTTCATACTGCTTTCCTTTGCATCTTTTTTTTTGTTTTTTACAGTCTTTGATTTACCAGAACTGGCAGTCTGTTTTCCAGTTGATTTTTGCGTTTGAGTCTGTGTCAATATATTGAATGAAGAAGCATGAAAGTCATCATCTGATGACTTCTCAATCAATTTTCTACTTTTACTGGTTCTTCCACTGGCTTTCCTCGACATTCTTCACGAACTTAACAAAAAGTAAAATAATTTATGAAGATGATGTGGAATGAAATCGATCTGTGATGAAAATGGGATGAATCAATTCGTGATGGGAAAGATGATGGGTGAGGACGATTTAGGGATTGTTGGTGAATATGATGATGATCTAGGACGACTTGGGGAAGATACTTGATTAAGGCGTTTTGAGTAAGTTTGAAAGGTGTTCGGGTATAGGATGTAGTGGGGGTGGGTAGTTATTGGACAACGGTAAAGTAGGGATTTAATTAAAAATAAATCCCTAATATTTAGATTTTGATTTAAAAAGGTAACACTATAATTTAAACTTTAATTAGAAATAACTTATTATTTATTTTAAAAACTGTAAAAGGTAACTGTTAAAAAAGATAACTAAAAAAATTTATTATTAATATTAATCTGAAAAAAATTTAAGATTTTGTTTCAAAAAAGGTAACTGAAAGACTAAAAAAATATTTAAACATATTAATTATTATTTACATAATTACTTATAATTTATTTTTAATTAAATATATTTTTAATTGAAATGTTATAACTTGATAATTATATGCTATAAGTAATTTATTTATAAAGAGTGTGTTTATAACTTGATATATATGATCTTAAATGTGTATGGGGTGTTAATTTTTATTTTTAACTACACCTTTTGTGCTTATTTACTTATCTATATTTCCTCTTTTAGTTGATCCTATTTACTTGTCCATTTTGACAAATCAAAAAATGAAAAAAAATTATATTATACTCTCATTTAAACTTCTTGAAAAATTTTAAGTTTTAATTCATGTTTTTTGAAACCATAATTAATAAGGTAAAATTGTAACATTACTATGTTAATTATTGTTATTTTAATATGTGTGTTATTTCTAAAGTGGACAACTAAATAGAGATGGAGGGAATATAATTTAACTTAAATAAATTCTCTAAAAGAAGAAGTTATTTCTTTTGTGCGGGTTCATTCGATTAAAAGATTTATCAACTCTTTTATTTATTTATTCAAATATTTTTGTACAAATTCTTTACTTGTTTTAAATTTTAATTCAAGTTATTATCTTTTCAAAATGATTCAAGTGCTTTTCTATAGTTAAATCATATTTTTTTCAAGTCTTAATCACTCTCAATTTGCTTAATGTGTTTAGTAATTTTTTTTCAAATATTTTTATTTACTTTTTAAAGTGTTTTTCCAAAAGTTAGTCAAATAAACCTTTCAGCTATAACTCCACGTTAGCTGATATTTTACGTGTAAAACTTTTTTAAAATGAAAAATAAGAACCTCGTACCCTTTCTTTGAAATTTCGAAAGAATTCACTAGCTTAAATCTTCTTGAAATTAATTAACATTTTTTTGATTTTCCTTTAAAAATAAAGAGTACTTATTTCAGAAAAGTTGAAACCAATTTTGGAAAAAAACAAGTTTTTTTCTCTGTAAAAACACACCATGAAACCTTATCTATTTGTGGTGTACATTGGATAAGGGTAACCTTGTTGACTTTTTAATATCCAACTTACAATTTCTTATCTATTGTATCATCAAGACAACCATTAACTGAGACTATTAATTATAATACAACTACTTTGTTTTTACTCAAAAGTCATAGGTACGTCCATTACACTGCTAAACTCGGTATTAATAAAATATAACGATCTACCTAACAAAAGATGTATTAATCTGAATAATTTATGTCTATTACAAGTAACTAGCAATGAATATTTTATGAATACCACATGATACTTTAGATAACTAAAAAAGGAACACTTTTCCTTTCATCTTTGACAGAAGAATCACAGAAGTTATGGGATATTCCCTCAAAGTTCATTGACAGAGTAATTCAAATTTGCATCAGATAAATAATGCTTTTAAAAAATAAAAAAATAATTATTTTATTCTCTTTAATCCTATTTAAATAAAAGAAATTATTTTGTATTCTTACATTCTTTTTGCTAATATTCCTATTTTTTTTAAAACTCCCTTTGTATTTTCTTTCTTCATAATTTTGATTAGTTAAAATGATAGTGTGACGAAAATATGAATCAATAGTCAAAATGTATTGAACAAAGTGAATTAAGAATATTATCCTTATATCTTCTTAAACTTTCAAGCATTACAACAAACACATTTAAGCGTGGACCAAATTATCAAATTCTTGAATTAGATTCTATAATTCTAACTCTGTCTTTATTTAAAATTTGTCACTTTTTTAACTTATAAAATTATGTTAACCATTCATATAACGATTGCCTAAGAAAGGATATTTTTCAACGTTAAATTGATAAAAATTTACCTCAAACTAATAATTGACAAAAAAAAAAGTAAAAAAAGAATCATTTATAGAAAAATTAAATAATAATTTCCATATAAAAAAGTATCAAACAAAATAAAATATTAAATAAATATATATGACATTTAATTAGATTTTAGACATCTAATTAATATGAAGGTTAGGTATCTCAGAGTTTTGAGTAAAGTAATAAATTATCAAAACATATCACATCCACACAAGCGTCATTACACGTGAATAATAAGGGAAAGTTTGTATATCTACTTAGATACGAAATTGTCTATGTTAGGAAACGATTTATGCTCTAACGTGAAATTTTCAACTACAAATTCATATTTAGTCAAACTCCAATAAAGATATCGAACATCGATTAAGAAAAAAAAAGAGAGAGAGAGAGAAGGTTAGTATGTAGTCAGTTAAGACTGCCAGCAATTTTCTATTGTTAGGACAGTTGGGTCAACGCTATAGACAAAAATGGTAGGAGATCAAAGCAATACTCCAACTTGCCTTAGAAAATAAAGAGAGCAACGTACATAACCAGCCATATATTTACATTCCTACCCAATAATTAATATTTTATCCGTTTTTATTTGTCTTAATCTATTTCCTTAAAATAATTTAAATATTTTTACTTTTGTGACAACTGAAATAGAGATATTATATCAAACACTTTGACTAAAAGAGTGCAAGTGGATGTAGTAAAGATATGCATAAATAGAAGTACATTAGTTTCTACATTTTTGAAAATCAAACAGAGAAGAAGAACAGTATGGCTGGTGGAGGATTTAGTGATGATAAAGGAGGAAAAAGAGCTCATCTCTATGAGTATAAGATAACTGGCTATTTTATTTTTGCTTGTGTGGTTGCAGCAATGGGAGGATCTCTATTTGGCTACGATCTCGGTGTTTCTGGTGAGTATTAATTAAAAACCATCTTTTTTTTCCTGATCTGTTTAGGAATGTATTTCTCAAGTCATTGTTCGAAAACAACGAGACACCTAAATTTGTTACTAGATGTACAAAATACAAAGGCTTGTAGATATCAGTAAATTGATTTTTTGTGTCTTTTGCTTTATGAATCAATTAGTCAGATAGGCCAAAAAAAAAACACTTGAATTGTAGAAAGAAAAATTCTGATTCTAATTTGTGGTTTTTAAGGTGGGGTGACTTCCATGGATGATTTCTTGAAAGAGTTTTTCCCCAAAGTGTACAGAAGGAAGCATGCACATCTCAAAGAAACTGATTACTGTAAATATGACAATCAGATACTCACCTTGTTTACTTCCTCTTTGTACTTTGCTGCACTTGTTTCGACATTTGGTGCTTCACATGTTACCCGCAACAAAGGGCGTCGAGCTAGTATACTTTGTGGAGCAGTCAGTTTTTTTCTTGGTGCAATACTTAATGCTTTTGCAAAGAACATTGCAATGCTGATCCTTGGTCGATGTCTTCTTGGAGTTGGCATTGGATTTGGCAATCAGGCAGTCCCTCTGTATCTCTCAGAAATGGCACCTGCAAAAGTTCGAGGAGCAGTTAAC